TTTATTAAGATCTTCAAAGGATAGGAAATTGTGGAGAGCCATTATTGGCCACGTCTTGAAAGGTCACGAAACATAGAAGAAAAAGATAGTTTTTTTTTAAAAAAAGAAAGATTTTCCCTGATTTTTTAAAAAATCTGTAAGAATAAAATTTAATTTTAGTTTCGAATTTTTAAAAATATTTTTGCGAAATTTTATAAAAGTAAAAATAAACTAATTAAAGTCGGACTAATTTTATTGTTGCTATCACGACGTTTCGATCCTTGTGACCTCCGGTCTCCTTCTTCAGTGAATTTCGAACTAAGACCCTTATTTAATCTATGAGGGAATATTTCTCTTTGTTCTCACAGTTATTGTACTCACAATTATTGTGCCATCAATCGGAGCTATTATTATCCCGTGGGACAATCCTGTGGCTAGAACTTGTTGCTTTACACCTTATATACTTATTCTCTCTGTAGATCATCCTGCTGCAGTTTTGCTTGTCAAGCTTGACTCCTTCTCTCCTCAGTCCTCTCTTTTATTTCTTATTCTTTTTTTAAATATCTGTGAATATTCATGACGTTTTTGAGAAAGGTATTGGAATATTTTTCTGTTTTCTTCTCCATATTTTTTAAATTTAATGTAGTCCTTCTCCTAAACTAATTAAATAGCTATCGACTCTGGTACTTAACCCATATATGGAGGAACCGGACGGAAAAATGCCTCTACAAAGAGCAATTGTACATCAGACGAGACGGGAATTTAAACACGGATCGCCATGACGTTATTCGCAAAAATATTGCATACACGCACATAGTAAAAATCAATCAATCAATCAATCTATCCTTCCTTCCTTCCTTCCTTCCTTCCTTCCTTCCTTCCTTAATCAGTGTTTTCGTTGTTTTTTTTTCTTTTGAGAAATTATATAGCATAAAAGGTTTGTTATCAAAGGTTTATTTTATTATTTTTTTCAATTTTATATTTGACCTTTTGTCCGATCCACGTTTTGTATAATGGGATGTTTTATGATGGGAATGTTTTACTTGATTGTGAAAAAAAAACTACAAATAAAAAAAAAAAAATGAAATGCTTTGAAGTTTGATCAAAGTATTGCGCGACAAACAGGAATTTTAAACAACGTTTACTTTTTTCAGTTAAAATATTTTTTTATTGATCAATTTAAAATATTTAAGTATTTGATGTCCTTTCCTGGTGCCGAAAGATTCTTTACCCAACTCACTACCCAAAAACTGAGCGTTATTTTATCAATGTGGCGATAAAGATTGTTTTTTTATATGATCAAGTGCCGATCTACGAGTACAAAAATTTAAATACCTGGGAAGTGTTCTAACAGAGGACGGAGAGTGCGACACTGAGATCCAAAGACGTACTGGGACGGCCAAAGAGTATTCCAAAAGCTAAACAGAGTATTAAGAAACAGAAAAATTTTGTTAGACAGAAATAAAAGAGTTTGATATTTGTTCCTATATGGCAGCGAATGCTGGACAATCTCCTCAAAGATAAATAAGAGACTTGAGGCAACAGAAATGTGGCTCTACAGAAGGATGCCAGGGACACCATAGACCAAACCTGTGAACAACGACGAAGTTTTTAGAGCAAATGGAAACTGATGTGATCAAAGGACCCGTTGTTTATATTCACTAAGATTTTCTCTTTAAAGACATTAAAAGTGGTGCAATCACAGGACTAAGGACACGTCACCGTGTGTTGATGTGAACTTAGCCAAGGAAGACCTAGACAAAACAAATATTCATATTGAGGTTCTAATTTCATATATCTCCATTAATTCAAACTTCTTGTTTGAAAATAGATGCATCTATTTACTTTTATCGCGTCTCTATATTTATATGTACAGAATATTCTTAAACCTGAAGCAGCAGAAATGAGGTTCTACAGAAGGATGCTGAGAATACCATGAACCGAACATGTGAGCAACGACGAAGTTTTGTAGAAAATGGAACAAAAAGAAAAATTATACTTAACATAGGAAAGAGGCAGTTGAAATTTCTGGAGCAAGTAATGAGGAAAGAAGGCGTGGAAAATCTGATACTCCTAAGATAGGCAAGAGGGACAGAAAAGCAATGCGTAACATGCTTGATGAGCTTGAGTAGATGGATGGTAAATGGGGAGAAATAACAAAAGACAAAACTTATTAAGAGCGTGTTGTAGCATACCTATGGGCGATAATGGATAGGTCTCCATTCACATAAATACAGTAGTAAATACTGCATGTTGGTCTACAGTCGGGTATTCGTCTCCAGCTGTTCTGGTCAAACTCTCCGCTTCCGGGCAAAGAGGATTTCTAGACGAGGTTATGTCAAAAGGCACTCGTCTCGGGAAACAGTTACTCGACCCCGTTTTATACGGCTTCTATGGGAAATTTTTGGCCGAGCCTACAGGTTCGGATACCCCGCATTAAATTCGGCCTTGTGCCATATCTGACCGCGTAGGGTGGTTGGTAGATATCCTTCCGTTGGAGATTCATTGTGGAATTCACTTGACTCGCATCTAGCAGTTGACTACTACTTCTACGCGCAGCTGGCGAATCTGATATCTGTTGTTCTTGTACTAATTATTATCGTTCATTAACAACCTTCGTTTGATTATTCTATTCAGTAACCTTCCCTAGGTTACAACAGAGTTACAAGGGACCGTAAGATGTGGAGGGCAATGATCGCCTACGTCCTGAAGAGACACGGTACATAAAAGAAGCATTCAATCTACGTTGCGTTTATATACGCTTATTTTACGAGGTGGACTTGCTAGATCCCCACCCAGCCGATTATAAAATCAGAGTTGTCTTTCTTAAAAAATAGTTACTCACCTAAGCTAGAGAGCTCAGTCTACCTTCCTATTAAATCTTAGCTAAAGGAAAAAAAGATGGATACATACCTTTCTCAAATGTATTTATGCGAAATAAAAGCAATCTAATAAATGGAAAAACGTCAGCCATAATTAATATTTGAGTATTTCATCTTAATTTTAATATTTCATCTTAATTTTTTTAGTCCATGACCATTGATAAAAAATTAATTTATAATATCTTGACGTTTTATTAAATGAAGAAATATCAATCATTATTAATTTTTGACTGTATTTCTTTCATTTTAATTGAAGTCACTTTTCAATGCAGACACTCAGTCTATGGTAATTCGAAAGCAAATATTAATATTTTTATCTTTAATTTTTATTTAATGAAGACTTATCAAACATTAACAATTTTTAATTATCCTTACACTATTTACATTGTCCCGATTGTTGTCTTCATCTTGATTGACATATTCACGACTTTTCGACCGTTGTACGCTCTGGTCTTCTTCGGGTGATTGGAAGCGTACAACGGCCGAAACGTTGTGAATAATGTAAATCAATGGTTCCCAACGTCGGGCGCATACATGTAAGAATTAAATCGGCATGCATGTAAGAATTAAATATTACGGGGGGGGGGCACCCGAATTTTAGAAATACCAATGTGGGGTATGGCCCAAAATCGGTTGGGAACCACTGATATAAATAGTGTAAATAATTACAATATCTCATCTCAGATATATAGACAGATATTTTAACTATCTTATTTTCAACTTTCTTTCAGCTGATTTTCATCACAACTTCGCAAATCGTTTGACTGCAGCAACTCTTCTTCTTTCTGTGTGCCCTGTCCCTTCAGGAAGTGGACGATAATAGCTCTCCCCAACTTCCTGTTTTTTGTAGCTCTTACTAAATATTTTCTTTTCGCTATCTCTCCTAATCCTTATTCTGCCAAACATTTACGCATGCGCTTTAGGTGGGTTAATCGTTGCTTTCGTATGTCCTTTCCTTCAATCTGTTTTTTTTTTAATCATTTCACCCCAAGCAAGGACATAATGCAGTTAAGATGCAAGAGGCTACTGGGAGAATGAGGAGAACTTAGGAGAAAGAACCTAAAATACAATCCTAAAGAAACTAGGTATAAACCTCTACTTTTGTTCAAAAACGAGGAGGTGTGTGTGAACCGGGCGATAGGCGAACCTATCTACTTCTTGTGAGTGTCAAATTTTCTAGGCCTTCTTTCTTGATTATATCCCCTAGAAATTTCAATTGACTTTTTTCTGATGTTCAGTATAAGCGTCCTTTTTTGTTTCCATTTTCATAAAACTTTGTCGTTGCTCGCATATTCAGTCCATGGTATTCACAGTATCCTTCTGTAGAACTTCGTATCTATTGCTTCAAGTCTCTTCTTCATCTGTGAGAAGATTAATCAGCATTCATTGCCATATTATGTAACATTCCAGTGCTAATTTCTTTATTTGTAACGATTTTCTTTTGTTTTTTTTAAATAATTTGCTTATCTTTTGGAAGGCATCTTTTACCGTCCCATAGACCTCAGATTTGAATAGAATTCACATGATCTATATGTGACTGTTACTTAATAACTGTTAAAAGGTATTTCCCAAATAATAAGATATTTGATGTTGAAAATAAACCTTACCGGAATCTAAAATCTAAGAGCCATGATTGCACAGATCCTGAAGGGTTATGGCACATAGAAGAAAAATATGCGAAAGTGTTTTGAGCTCTTACCTTTTCAAGGGGGCACAGTGGAGTAATGGATAGCGTCTTGGATTGAGGAGTCGGAGAGCCGAGTTCAAATTCCAGTTGAATCCATTGCATTCACTTACGTGCTAATACCTTTGGGAAAGGTATGAACCCTATTCTTCTCCCCCCAGCTATGGGTAAATAGAAGTACAGACCGGGTTCTATAGCCTTGGATGGCAACTGGTTTACCGCAGAAAGAAATGGCAACTTACTGGGGGAAAAAAGCTGCCCCGTCAATCATGTATCGAAAGATAAATGATCGCCTAAGCGTGTATCACGCATGGCACATAACTGACTGACCTTTTCAATGCCTGTTCTGCTCTTTTTAGCTGAATATTTCCTATTCTCATCACTCTTATTAATACGATGAATTTGAATTTGAAAACATAATCTTATTTTTTGTTCAATTCTTTTGTTCTTTTCAGATCATGATGGGTCCCACAGGCATCTGTTGGGCTTTTTTGCTCTCTCTTGTGGTGATGAGTCAAGCAAAGTGAGTTTTCAACAACTTTTTTTTAATGATAGATATAATACGTACAGTCACATAATCTTTTATCTAAAATTCTGAAAACATTTTTCAGTAAAAAAAATTAAATTTTCAGAGCTTTTTTAACTTTTACATTTAAAAAAAATAACAATAAAAATAAGCCAGTAATTTCTGTTTGGTTTTTATTCTATTTTATTTGCTGCTGTACAAAAAAAATAATGATGAAAAAGAAAACAAAAAATCTAATTTTTTTTACCAGAAGTACGCGGAAAAATTTATGGTTTTGCTATTTGAATTTTCTGATGATTCATAATTCTTAAATTAATGATTAAATAACCTACTTGCGAGTTGTACGACTATTTAAAAAAAAAAACTTATAAATTCCAACTCTTGAATCATTAAATATTTGAGCTTAGCAAGTTTAACAAAATATTTGCAATGAAATAAATATGAAAGCATATCATTATTTAAAGAAATAAAAAGGTACAAACGAAAACTGAAATTTGATGTGTTTCCATTTCAAAGAAGCAGACGAGAAACAGGTGAGAGCGTTATCGTTTCCTCTATCTTTTCTTTTTCTCATTGAAAGCAAACAGCGTTTTTGATATGTCTTTTCCGTCTTTCCTCACAATCAAAACTGAATTGTCCATGATTTATGAAGTATTGGCAAGGCGTAACGTACGTGTTAATTAACAAAGGAACAAAAGAACAAACTGAATGATAATATGATACTCTTAACCGATTCAGGAGGAATCTTTACAATTGCAGAGGCATTCTATCATATCGGAAAAACTTCGAATTCTGGTCCCAAATATTTCGGATAAGAGTGGGTGTCTGTACTTTTATTTTTTTTAAACTTGCCTAGATTTTGAGATCACTATTTTACAGTGTTGATTTTTTTCTCACGACATTATATGTCGAAGATTATATTAAAATACTATCTCTACCTTTCAGACCTATGATCGCTTGCTGCGTCTAACTTGCAAACATGGGACGCGCATTGTCATGCAGTAAAATCGTCATCGACATTTTTAGCACAGAAAGATACTTCGTTCAAAAGGGCCAACTGAATAATGTGGTGTAGTAAAGAAAATTGGATTCCATTTGATTAACGCCAACAAATTTAGGTTTAAAGTTGAATTATAGAAAATTCTCATGGATCTAGCAAATAATCTTTTCGTTTTGGCTTCTCGTAATGATTCTCGTATCTATAGCTTTTGACTGTCTTCTTGAAAAATGTAAACGACGTACGATTGTTGACACGTTATATATATATATATATATATATAAAGATAGGTGTGTGTGTGTGAGAGAGAGAAAGAGAGAGAGAGAGAGAGAGAGAGAGTGTGTGTGTGTGTGTGTGTGTGTGTGTGTGTGTGTGTGTGTGTGTGTGTGTGTGTGTGTGTGTGTGTGTGCCTGCGTGTCTATATGATAAAAATATGGTTTTCAGCGATAGTCTGTTTCATGATTAAACGCAATCTTGAAAGTATAAAACAGACTTTTGCCACTTGGTGTTCACCTCAGTGTTAAATTATATATATATATATGTGTGTGTGTGTGTGTGTGTGTGTGTGGTTTGGTTTGGTTTGGTTTTAATTTTTTTACAGTATTTTACTTCAATGTGTTATTTAATGCCGACAAAATATATGTAATTTTTTTTTTCAAAAATGTATTGCTGGTAACATTTTTTTTTCCAAAAATGTATTGCTGGTAATAACTTTTTTTCAAAAATGATGTGTATGATGTGTATGTATGTGTGTGTGTGTGTGTGTGTGTGTGTGTGTGTGTGTGTGTGATGTAAGATTAAGTGTTTACGATCGTACTAAAAACGAGACAAGCCTATGCCTTATTAAGTTTCACTAGCACGTGACATAATCCATTTTTGCTTCGATAAAGCCGATCATCAGACGCCCTTACATACGTACTATCTTAAACGAGTAACCATGCACTATAAGTGGCTATATCCTCAGGATATTGAACACTGTAAAAAAAAAACAGCGATAAACTGTATTTAATCTAAATTATATTACATTATATTTCAATTAAGTAATTATTTGCTCTCTCTCTCAAACATACACACACACATACGAGGTCAGATCAAAAAGTATCGGAACTGCCGCTATGGTAAGGGAAATAATGTACGCAAAGTGAATCCGCTTGGTGCAGATTGAACCTGAACTCTGTTGCAACTTTTTTCCTCTTTCACACTTGAAAAGAACAAGATTTCAAGTCGTCGAGGAAACTAAAGAGAATGCGATGAGGAAGCTGCTCACTACCCCACAAAAGATGTTAATTTGTCTTAATAATAATTTTAAAATAATTCAACAGACGATGATATTTTTTTAATTTATGGTAATCGATTTTTGGCGATTGCCTTACTCGGTTTTCGTTGCTCCATAGTGTGGGTTTGAAAAATGACGTTTTTTATCGCGGTCGCTATCGCTTCTCGGCCTTTTGCCTCGGGAGATTCAAATAATATTAAGCTCCAGAGTGATTCCCCCCCCCCCTCACACACACCAGGCAGTACCTCTCCTTCGGGAGTGGGCTGGATTTATTGCCCTGTGCCTTGAGGTGATGCCAAAAGGGGAAGTGCCAAAGGGGCTTGGACAAATTTTGCACGTTATTACTGTTAAACCCACTTTAAACCTCAACCTTGTGTCACATTCAGTAGCGACGTGGGCGCGCTAAAAAGTAAACGCTACTTGGCCTTTTGGCTGAGATTAAAGTGTAGTATCTGTTCTTATCAGCTTAATATTATTCTCTCTCTCTCCACTACTATCTTCACTCTTCTTTCTTTCATTTTCTCACTGAAAGCAAGTAATGTCTTTTCCCGTCTTTCCACGCGATCAAAACGCGGAATAGTTCATTTTTTATGAGGTATTGACAGGACGTAACGGCCGTGCTAACTAACGAAGGGAGAGACAAGGAAAATTATTATCGGATTATTCTTTCTTATTGTTTCTTTTAAATTTTCAGGCCACATAATTTGATCATTTTTTTTCTCGCTTTATTCGACTTAAGTGTTCTTGCCGTTTTTTCTCCTTGTCTGTCATCAACTCACCCATTCCGAAATTCGAAATATCCCGTATTCTAATAAATGTCTCACTTCAGGTGTTTCAGATCTGTGTACCTGTAACTTGAAAATAAGTTTTCTTGCAGTGGAACACTACGGTTAGGATATAGGCTTAATAATTTTATTTTGGAGCAGATGTTTCAGTATTGTTTCTTTCTGTATTTTTAGGCTAAAGCTTAGTCAATGTAAACCTCGAGAGCCACTCAATGTAAACGGTTATTGTTAAAACGGTCATGATGAGTGAGCTGTATGATATGAATAAAAGAGGAAGAGGCAGAACGTAAAGTTTATGAGAATCCATGACTTAGGTCGTCGGACATAATATTTCTAACATTCGACAAAATAGGTCATCGGCTGTAAAATGGAAAAAGTGATAGGCCATCGGCTGTAGAATGGAAAGTTGTGATAGCAACACAAGCAACATGAAAAATGAGTTCAGTTGCTAGAACAAAATTTAGCAACACGTTAGCAACAAGAAATAAATCTGCACTCTTTTAAAGTATCAATATAATTGTTCAACGCAGTTATTCACATTATTGTTTCTTTTTTTCAATTTTCAGACCATTTTATTTGATTTATGCTCCGGAAAAACTCATTCCTGGTCAATCTTATAATGTCAGTGTCACGTTGATGGGGCAGCGCTCTACTCAGAGTTTCGTCCGAGCTATGATTCGAAACAGTTATAATAAAAGCGAAGTGGAAGTTGGTGGAACGATGGATTCGTGTAAGTAAACGCTGGATCGATTGTGGAAACATTTTAATGGTAATGACAAACATGCCAAATGCTTATCAATTTGAAGAGTGTCACCAATCTAAAAACAAGTACTTTTTTAGTTTTAGACGTCCAGACTTTTGCATTAATTGTCTAAATATATAATAAACAAGCTTAAAAACCGCCCTATCGGGCGGCATTTTAGTTAACTCCTACGGAGTGGTGTTGATTGAACCTTCATCACAATAGGTAGTGAAAAGTAGATGCGATAGGCAACAATAGACTACAGAAGAACTCAAAATTGATCGCTACATATAAGTATTTCATTAATATTTAAGCTTACTTTTTAAAAGTTCAACGATAATTCTTTTACCGCCACTCAATTTTAAAACAATTTGATGTATGTAGGTCCTTACTTTCTGTACAAACAATTATTTTTATTTCATTGGTGACATTCACTGGATTTTGCAGTTAATTTACATTGTTGCCAAATTTATTTCCAAGTTATAAAAATTGTTGTACAAAATAATTCGTCGCAAAAAATCACCGAAAACAATTGCATGTAATTTTAGTGAAACAAAGTACTAATATTAAACATGATGAAATTAATATAATGAATATTATCAATGATAACACATTTTTATCTGCATAATAACATTGATCTGCCTTTTAAATAATGACAATAGGTATATGAAAGTTACTCTAAAGTCTAAGCTAATAGGATTTGCCAAGTAGCTAATTTCGGCCGACTATCGCGAATTTTAAACCTATATATGGCATATAAGACGTAGGGGAAATTTAAAAGATATTTTTAGTGAAAAAAAGTGCGCCTTATATGCCGTCAAATACGGCCAATTGCCATGAATTCTCGGGAAAGATAGTGGAGTAGTTTCTATTTGATTTCTCCACAAATTCTTCTTCATTATCATTAAATTGACATAGTTTCTTGGGAAAGATAGTGGATTGGTTTCCCGTTGCCTTCTTCACAGATTTCTTTCTTTTATTATCTGCGAATTGCCATGATTCCTTGGAAAAATAGTGGAGTGCTTTCTCTTTGACTTCTCCACAAATTCCTCTTCTTTATTATTTTTGAAATGACATGACGTCTTGGGAAAAATATGGAGTGATTTCCCGTTGCCTTCTTCACAAATTTCTCTTTTTATTATCTTCGATTTGCTATGACTTGTAAAAGATAATGAAATGTTTCCCGTTGCTTTCTTCGAGGGTTAAAATTCAGCGCTTTCCTTTCAGTAGATTAGTTGCCACAAAAACCACATAGATTTTGAATAGCAAAAGCCGTAAAATATACCCCACTCCCAAAGAAAAGAAAAGAAATGACGGGACTTAGGTATAAAAGGACTAATGTAAACGTAGTTCATTCAATCAGCAGTTTCACTAAATTCCCATATAAATTAATAATGATTTTTTTTTTTAAAATAAAAATTTCAATACTTAAATCATAAATATTTTAAACATTTTCTATTTTGAAAATTTTCTATTTTCATTATCTTGTTTAATGACTTTTTTTAATTATTTTGTTTGCAGATTCTACATCTGTCTTCTATATGGTGA